AAAGTTAAATAAGTTATACAGATGAGTTTTATTTTGGGGTAATGTATAAAATTCGTCTGTGTTAGTATGGTCACGTCAGACAGGTCCATTACTGTCTTCAACTTTTTTCACTTAGTGTTACGTTATCATCATCATCATCATCATCATCATCATCATTATCATCATCATCATCATCATCATCATCATCATCATCATCATCATCATCATCATCATCATCATCATCACCATCATCACCATCATCATCATCATCACTATCCTCCTCCATCATTATCCACATTTAATTGTTGTCATCTTACGCCCACAGGTAGGTGAAGACGTCAACAAGAGCCTCCTCCCGCCCTCTATTCATCTCCAGAGACTGTAAGTACCACAACACACCTTAATTAACAGTTACCTGGACGGGCTGGGAGGGATTACGACACTCTTATGCTTTATGGAGTGTCGTGTTGGCAAGGTTGTGTTGGGTGGCTCGAAGATATAATCAGCGTCTGGAGGGGCAACGTGGCGTGAGAGAACTAAGAGGACTCGGGGATAACATTGTACACTTAAAACGTAGGAGAGAGAGAGAGAGAGAGAGAGAGAGAGAGAGAGAGAGAGAGAGAGAGAGAGAGAGAGAGAGAGAGAGAGAGAGACTTGTTTACTATGGCGCCCACTAAGGAGCATTAATCATCAAGTGTTGGGATCTTTTGTAACTATATACAGGTTTGGCAGTACGTGACTGAACGCTGTAAAGAGGTGCGTTAAAGTGTGTGTCCTGTTCCCATAGATTTCCTCTCTCTCTGTCTCTCTCTCTCTCTCTCTCTCTCTATGTCTCCCCCTCCCCCCGTTGGTTGATAGGGGGAGAGCGTGTCTACCTGGTGAGTCTCCTTCCCCCAACAGGTAAAATGGACTGAAAAGTATAAATATTTACTTCCTTGATTTATATAAAAAAAACAAAAACTTGATCAAGACATCTGATTCAGTTTTAACACCTTCCATTCAGCAGCTGAGTCACCACAATACACCTGAGCTCTTAATACAGGTGAACTAGATAAGGTAAACAGCATTAACTCCCTCTCACTTCACCCCTCCCCACCCCCCAACCCTACACATCCTGTACTGGCAGACAAAGATAGTAGGCACACACACACACACACACACACACACACACACACACACACACACACACACACACACACACACACACACACACACACCTGGTAGTAAAGTCAACAGGTGAATGAACACAAGGTATTTAGTTAACGATGCAGTCTCCCCGTGACCTCTGCCACAAGTAAGGTTACCAATACACCTGAGACCCTAACTCTAACTAGATACTCCAGCCCACAATAAACAGACAGACAGGACATACACAGACAGACAGACAAAGAGTGGCGGGATAGGCACAGTTTATTGATCCTGGGTACAGAACTCTTCACCAAGGAGGTATGAGTCAGTGTCAGCTTGTAGTGTGAGCTCAGTGCTGGCTTGTCGTGAGCCAAAAGTCAGCTTGTAGTGTGAGTCAGTAAGCTTCAGTGTGTGAGCCAGTGTCAACCTGTAGTGTGTGAGCTGGTGTAAGCTTGTAGTGTGTGAGCTGGGCATCAACCTGTAGTGTGAGCCAGCGTGAGCTTGTAGTGTGAGCTGTGTCAGCTTGTGTGTGTGAGCCAGTGTGCTTGTAGTGTGAGCTCAGTATCAACCTGCAGTGTGTGAGCCAGTGAGCCAGGTATGAGTCAGTGTCAGCTTGTAGTGTGTGAGTCAGTGTCAACCTGTAGTGTGTGAGTCAGTGTCAACCTGTAGTGTGTGAGTCAGTATCAACCTGTAGTGTGTGAGTCAGTGTCATCGGTATAACCATATCACCACCAGGTAATAAAATAATTCAACCGGTTCATAAATACTCAGATTACAGGGACATAAATACCTGTCCTAGTCCACCTGTGTGTGACTCCAGGCCCTTATGCTGTATTAGGGCGACCTGGCTTTGAGTAGGTCACATTGTTAGGGGTCAGGCTCATATATGCCTCTTCAAGTAATATACAGGTATAGAAAAAAACACTATTTATTAACTGGCTGGGTTACTATGGTGACTATAAAGTGTAATTACTGCATCAACAACATACCATAGTAATTAAATCCAGCTTCCGTTTCCGCAACAACTTTGTATAGTACGACAACAAGAGTGGTGTGTGTGTGTGTGTGTGTGTGTGTGTGTGTGTGTGTGTGTGTGTGTCGCTTCCGGTCAGCCAGCAACACGCACCAATAACGCCACACTCATCCGCTTCCTACAACACTTGGGAATTTTCAGTAGTTGACATTGTTGGCCAAGTCGCAGGAGACGTTACCGCAGCACCGTCGCCTTTGTTACTCACTGTTGGTCCTCCTCCTCCTCCTCTTGTCCTGAAGGTGCCACTGCTGTCAGGCGTTTCCCAACATTTCCGTCAGTAGTTTATTTAATGTCAACTCGGCGTGTCAATCAGAAGGCCCGGTAACAGGTGGTGACGGACCCAGTACATGGTAAAAGCCGATGGTTTCCTCTAGGTATAGCTCTGTCCCCTTGGTCCAGCTTATTTCACCTGATGATTAAACACCCTAATGCTACCTGGATGGGCTAGGTTAGATTAGCGTTAGGGTATTTAATCTGGGGGAGGCCGGGGGGTGAGGGGGTGGGAGTTAAATCTTAAAGTGTGATCCCACCCCAGTCGTTCACCACATACTGTTCACGAGGGCATCTCTACATTACTCCTGCGGGTGGTGAGGTGCTCTTGTTGCGACGTTCAACAGGAACCTCGCTGGCAACACTTAGCAGCAGCAGCAGCAGAGGGCCCCCCACACCACCATCCTGAGCGAACACCATGCCTGCAGGAACGATCCCAAACATGACGGTCTAGGGATGTGTAGTGTGACGCTGTCTTCCTCGCCTTCTTGTGTGTGGTGGTGGTGGTGTACCCAACTGAAAGAGAGAGAGAGAGAGAGAGAGAGAGAGAGAGAGAGAGAGAGAGAGAGAGAGAGAGAGAGAGAGAGAACAGGCCAGCGGTGTTAAGACATGGTACGTACAAATATTTATACCTCGCACTGAGACCGTCTAGACTGGAGGGGTCCTCTTTGGTAGTGCCACCTTACAGAGACTTGTTAGAACTTCACGTTTCCTGGCTCCCTTTGTTGTAAAATAAACTAAAGTCTCCACCTCCCTCTTTCCCTTTCATTTTCCCTCCCCTTTCCTTCCCTCCCCCACCGCCTTTCCCTCCACCCCTTCTCTCTCAAACTTTGGTCAGGATGGGTATTATTGGTCAATTTAACATCTGACAGTAACCTAACCTAATCTAACACCCGCATAAGTGACTTGCTAATATTCAAACACTATGGTTCGTAAGATTGACGGAAGAAGTAATTCCCCTCGTCTCCCCTCGTCCTCGTCTCCCTTCGTCCTAGTCTCTTCTCGTGCCTGTGAGACGTGACCCCGTGACCTCGATGTTAAAGCTGACAAGGGATACACTTTAATCTTAACGCAGCTTGACCCTGCACACCTCACTCACTCGCGGCGCATTCACTTCATCGTTTCGACCCCCACTAACGCTCACAACACACTCACTCACCCACTGTGTGTGTGTGTGTGTGAGAGAGAGACAATATACCATAACAATGGCACAGTGTAGTGATCGTACTTCACAATAGTCCAAGGTTCAGATCTTCACTGAGGAAGAATTGATTGGTTATCCTGTGGCAACATCAGCAGGGACTGGTGTAGTACGAGAGAGTTCCCTTCGGCTGGTCACCGCAGAATCCCAACCATCTTATAATTATGTTGGTCCCTCGTGAGTTACTTGTGAGTGTTTCACGCTTGAGTGAGCAGATTGTTGTGAGTAACTCGTGTCCATTTATGTAAACAACTTGTCACAATGTTCCCGTATGTGAGGCTTTTGTGTCAGTTTTCGTGTGTGTATCGGCTCCTTAGAAGTGTGTGGGTGTGTGTATGGGTGTGGGCGTGGTGGGTGTGTTTGTGGCGCCACCCATGATTGACGGGTGTATAGAAGAGAGGGGACAC